GGGGCAGTGCTGCAGCAGCCATTTTGGCCACAGGCTCCTGGGATATCATCAGTACAGTCTGTGCCCTGTGTGTCTACAGTAAGCTGTAACCTGCCTTGGCCCTGGCAGGTTTTCTCTAATGGTGGTCAGAAAACACAAACCCCAGGTAAACCACAAAGACCTGACACCTCAAGTCAGCCATGTAAGGGTGGGAACTGTGGCAGCAATGTACCGCAGGGACCTCTACAACCAAGACAGCCTACACCCCAAGTTGTACGTCAGCCTCGTCCCCAGTCTCGCCAGCCAGTGAGAACGACCACAACAACACCAGCTCCGCCACAGTTCCAAAGTCGTCCCCAGGCACCAAATGTGGTGTGTCCTCGAGGATGGGTGATGAGAGGAGGTCGTTGTGAGCAGCGTCGCCATGGGAGACCAGAAAGGCCGACCAGTAGGGAGTGCAGTCCACAGTGCGCCAATGGAGGTTCCTGTGTAGACGGCAGATGTGTGTGTCGACCTGGGGTGACTGGAAAGACTTGTAAAACAGGTGCAGTGTTGATTAGTAGTCTTAACTTTGATTGAATGGTCTGGAAATCTATACTTCACAACTGAATTAGCTTTTCTTAAACTTGTGGCTACTGCCAGTACCAGTGTCATAACATGATTTGTTTTATTGCATTCAGATATCAGTGAGTGTGAGGAGAGGCGTGGGTATTGCCAGTACCAGTGTCATAACATGATTTGTTTTATTTAGATATCAATGAGTGTGAGGAGAGGCGTGGGTATTGTCAGTACCAGTGTCGTAACACATTTGGCAGCTTCATGTGCACGTGCCCCTCTGGTTACACTCTCAATGCTGACAGGAGATCCTGCAAACGTGAGTGAAAAAGATTATTCTGAAAATATTTCATAGTGCATAAATTTCATCCATTTTGCTTTGACAAGTTTTATACTTACCAATTATTTTATTTTGTTATTTACTTCCTCATTTTTGAAGAATTAAAGCAAGTCTTGTAGTCATAACAGAAATTGTAAGTTACATTTCATTACCTGTTTTAGTACCACCTCAATGTTTTGAACTTCAAAGCTTGGGTTATTCTTGCTGACAACTGTATAATTTGATATGAGAAATGTGTTTTGTAATTCATGATATTTGTCAATTGTTTTGCCTAGCTATTGGTTGCATGCCAGACTGTATGAATGGTGGAACTTGCAGACAGGGACGCTGTTACTGTAGACCAGGATTTAGAGGAGACAGCTGTCAAGATGGTAAGGCACATCTCAACACAATGGCTTCCCTAACACAATCCGGTCATGCATCAACATATTTTGTTGGTTTGTTAATTAGTGGCCTAACTCAAAAAATTACTCAACGATTGTTGTAGAAATATTATGATATGTTAAAAATGGACTTTCTTAGAATCAGTTTGATTTTAGAGGTGATCCATAATAAATAATGTTAAGAAATGAGCTTCCCTTGATAGAGGTCTGAACCCTCCAAGTGCTTTACTTGTATATAAATATATTATAAATGAAATGTGCTGAGTAATTTTCTGTTTTTCCTGTCACGGTATAGACATTGATGAATGTAAGGACCATGGTGACAACCTGTGTGAGAGTATCTGCAGGAACACATATGGAAGTTACGTGTGTTTGTGTCCTCCAGGAGCCAGACTCAACTCTGACAAAAGGACATGCTCCAGTAAGTGGAACAACAATCACATCCCAACACAATGGCTCCTCTACCACAAGCTGATCACATCCCAACACAGCGGCTTCTCTACCACAATCTGATCACATTCCAACACAATGCTTCCTCTACCACAACAATATGATCACAAAGCATGCAGGTCATGAATAGTGGGAAGGGGTGCTTGTATTTTGTTTATACTTTCTTTTTAAATTGCACAATCCATTTAAATACATGTGGGTGTAAGGTCCTAATTTTTTAAGAAAAAATGTTCTCGTTCACTTTAGCGATCCAGCCCAACACTGTTAAAAATTTCAATTTTTCAGTCTGTTTTTGAGTTCTGAATGATTTATGAAGTTACTAATGCAATTCACCAGTCTATTCTACTTGTATGAGTATCTTTCAAAAATGAGAAACATGGAACTGAAATATCTGTACTTTCGATGTATTTTAGTTGCTTCATAGATGAATTACCACTATATATTTTGTCATTTCAGACTCGGCTTGTAGCCCTCGTTGTCAGAACAATGGCGTCTGTGTCAATCATCGCTGTCTCTGTAAACCTGGTTACCATGGCAGAACGTGCCAATTAGGTGCGTCTCCGGGGTGTTCTTAAAAAAAAGATCAGATCATAATGAAATTAATCTTAAATTTTCGACCGTAATTTAAGTTTTTATTCTGAGCTGAAATAAGTCAGTATATTAATACGTAATCTTGCTTGAAGTCATTTTAACATCTTTTGAACTATTGACATTTAGATTGATATTTTACATTCATCATTGTAATTTCAGATGTGAATGAATGTGATCACTTCCGGCCCTGCAGTCACAATTGTACCAACATTGTAGGGAGTTTTAAGTGCTACTGCCCTGGAAATCTTGTACTCGATTACGATCATCGCACGTGCGTACGACCAGAGACGGCCATTCCCGGGTCTGCCGTACTTCGTTCACAGCCCACCGGTGTCGCCTCTTGGCGGGATGATGATAAAGATAAAGATAGGGTTGACTCCGACGTTGTAGATTCCTCAGTCGACAATCCAAAAGAGAGCAAAGTCTTGACAACACCAGTATCTCCATTGTTCCCATATCTTGACGATGTTGATTCTAAACCTAACGCTTTTGTGAATAAAGACGGCAAACTTATTGATGTCATAAACCACAGAGGCATGAAGTTTATGAAAGTGCACATGGATGATAAATCAAACCCGCAGGAGAAATTCACTGAGCTCAAGAGTGATTTTACATCTGGCATATCACTGCCAACCAAGCAGCAAGCTCCTCAGGCTCTCGTTCCTCCTCTGAATGTGGGTCTTCCAACCAATCAGGGACAGGGATTTGATACTGTGCGGCGAGGTTATGATGACAGGGGACCAGAGCGTGGAGACATCAGCCCTGAAGAACACTATGGTTTCCAAGACTTCTGGAGGCAAACTCAGCCTACCAACCTAAAAACTGGCGATTCAGAACAGTCACAAAATGGCCAACAAAATCATAATGGTGGCCCACCTCCCAGTAACTTGCCCACTATAGTTAAATCTCAAGGAAACATGTTCAAACCACCATTTTCGAAATCGACTCACATAGATGAACACGATGGCTCCGTGATGACCAAAGAAGACATGGGTGACGAGACAGTTATAAAGCGTGTCATTCCCGGCCAGGCTGTTATCACCTATAAGATAATACGTGAAGGAGATGTGGAGGTGGAGTATGTTGATAAGGACAGAGGTCCTGGTAATGTGCTGCCTCCTGGTGGTGATATATAGCGCATAGAATATATATAGATCTCATGATCGTCAGATATCGTAGACAAAACACCATTTCATAGTTGCCCAAAATAATTTATCAGAAGATGTTATTTTATTGTTTAAAAGCGGCACGTACAAACCAGATTGTAAGAATAATTTTTACTTAAAAGCTCCATGTGGTGAAACGTGCCCCTTTTGGTCTTTTTGATAAATTGTTATAATATGCTCAGTTAGTTGCGCATTAGAGATGAAAGTAGCTATTAAAATGGGATGAAGTAATTCCTGACAATGGTTTTGTCTGCATGCCTGACATAATTTCATTAATACCAGCTTCACATGTTCCATTTTCAACACGTTTTTCTGGGTTGCATTTTGGACTAAACTTCGGGACGGGATGAAATGTTTCCGTATCTTTAAGTCTACATACATGATCTCGAATTTAGATGGTGCGTCTTTTTAATATACATATATACTGAATAGATATTTTAATCGGTTGTAAAAATACAGGTTAAGAGAAAACTAGTTTTATAAGTAGGTGTATTGTTTGTCCAGTAGTACGTATTATACATTGCATGTATAGTCCTATACACACGTATGTCTTTGGGCATTGCGTCACTTATTAATATAGATTGTGTAAAAGTATAAAATAATAATTTTAGAATAAAGTCCGTTTTTCGTTATCTCCGGCAGTTTTGGGTTTTGTTTTCTCAGCGTATCAATATTTGTGCAAATCGTGAAGGAAACAATTGCAAAAAACCTAAAAATATAATTATTATGATCACATGAGCCTGGATAGGTTTTATCACTGTGAAAAACATAAAGATGTAGGTGATGTTTTGCATAATTGTCCAGTGTTTAGTAATTTCTATTTCATCCAAACTGATGCATCAAAACGCGTTTATTGTCTGGCAACTTTTGTCCGTGCGCACTTTTCATTTTCGTTTTTTATTATCTCAATCCTGCATTTTTTATCTTAAAGTATTGAGCACGCTTCCGTCACGAATTCCATTACATTAGTTTAACCACGCAAATCTCACGTTCTTTAATGAGTCGTTGAAAAATAGAATTTTATATGTAGTTAAATTAATTTTTGTTGTAAATAATATTCTAATGAATTATTTTTCTGATTCACAATAGCTATCTACCAGATAAACAAAGTGCGAGGAATTGATAAAGAAACGTATAAGTTAACTATATATCACTTTTAAAATAATTGACAAATCCCCCTTCTGTAGGTCTGACACAAAATGGTAAAAGTGCAACAAATATGCATCGTTAACTGTACATTGACGACCGTATTAAGCGACCTAGCAATTCAACACATTCCACACTGAATTTTCTTTAAGGAGCCGGTATTCTTAAATGTAGTTCCCTTGCTTTAGTTTTTGGGTGGTTTGGTCGATAACACTCACACCTCCTGCAGTATGCACACCAAGGAGAGAAAATATATCTTTTAAATGCTGTCGGCAATGGCAGCATAGCAACATTGGTGGCGCTAATATTCCTGAGGCCTATACTCCACCGTATCTTCATTCTACATATTTTGAGCAACGTTGGGGGTTCGCGTGTGTACTGAATTAAAGAGTCTCGAAGATGGACGAGGCGTCGGTTGTTCAAAAGTTTGGCCAAGTTTCCATTTTTGTCTACGACTTTCATATAAAGAGTTTCTTTAAGTAGAAGACTGATTCCCAGCCTGGCGCCGTCAGTTGCGTTTACCACGTCATCAAGGATACAGAAGATGGCGGTCCGTCCTTTTTTGTCTCGTATATCTGGGTTGGCGCCGTACAGTAATAGCACCCTTACTGCCTGTGAATTTCCAATTTCTGCCGCCACGTGCAATGGGGTTAACTGGTCATCATTTGTCGCGTTTGGATCGGCGCCCAGCTCCAGGGCGAGGCGGATCAGATGATCCCGGCCTCTGTAGACAAGATAATGCAGAGGGGCGTGGCCATGGTTATCCTGCGCACTGGGATCTGCTCCAAGACTCATCAGGAGTTCTGCCACCTTCAGACAGGGGAGTTTGGCGGCAGTGATTAAGGGGGTGCGACCTTCAGCGTCCCTGGCCTCGATGTCAGCTCCATATCGGATGAGCCATTCCGCCGCCAGGGGCAAGGTGTTTTGAGCCGTGCAGTGGAGAAAGCTCTGTCCATGTCTGTTCAGAATAGGCCTAGATACTTTAGCTTGTACGTCAGCCCCGTATTGCACCAGGAGCCTCAGGCAGTTGATGCTCAGCATGTGTTGCTCTCGGAGATATGTTTGGAACTGGTCGTCGCTGGACTTTGGGTCCACTTCCTCATCGCACGGAACGCGCGGCCAGTAGATGATGACTATCTCTAGGGGTGTTCGTCCAGCCCAGTCCACTGTGTCCACCTTCATCAATTACAAAAACAATTCATTTCAATTAACTGCTCTTAACATTACCTTTTATTTTTTTTACATTTATAAAATGATGGAAATGATAGAACAGCCCCAAACGACAGGTAGGGTAACTGAGCATACCTTGCCTATAAAGGTTTAAAGAAAATATACGGCTGCATCCTACCTTTGCTCCATGCTCTAGAAGCATTTTCATGGCGTCAGGCCGGCGGTAAATACAGGCCACGTGCAGTGGCAGGGTCTGCATGACTGGCAGCAAGGAGTCCTCTGTATCATCGGGCAAGAAACTGGTCAGTTTGTTGGGATCATAATCCTCGTCTTGTAGCAATTCTCTAAGGAGACCAAGGTCGTTTCTTATTATGGCATCGTATACTTTTACTCTCATGGGTAAATGTTTACCTCTTGAACGCTGATAATTGGCCATAAAAGGCTCGTAGGAATAAAACACTGTTCCTGTCACCCGCGCCCTTCTTCTGGATAGTAGCGATCGCCACCATGAAGAAATTTGAGAACCAAAGCTGCTGTTGTTTTCTTGTCGCTGCAATCTTGTCGCAGGAAGATATGGAGGGAACTGCGGTCCTACCTGTTGGTTTCCATTGTTTGTGTGGCGTATAAGAAACATGTTAAGTTAAGAATGAAGCCCTGTCTATTTTCTATTCACCACTGTATCAAACCGTCGCCCAGCACCATGGTAACGTTATGACGTCATAATGTCGGCATGACGCAAAAATAAACGTCACGATATCATTTATAACGTAGTCATTGTAAAAAATTACGTAACGTTTTATTGTAAGCATTTTGGAGGAGGCTTTAGAACAAATAGATAAGTACCTCATCTAGGAATAATAAATGTATCAATTACGTCGGTGCAATGTTTTCAAAATGTACCGTTCTCTTCCCTGTGATGCAACTGCCGGTGTGATAGGAACGGTAGTCCGCTACGAACCGTAGACCGGCCCCCATTACTTTGAACAGGGGGCATTCTTCCCAATACTCCGACTAAGTCTAGCCTGCACTAATCATATGGGACCACGAACTATCATTCCTAGAACTACAATTTCTGTCACGCCTCGTGACCACGGTTAGTGGGGAACGGAAGGATCGTAAATGTAGCGGTCATCACACTAACTTACTCAAGTTCTCACTAATCTGAAGAAGTGAAAATCCAATAATTACAACCAAATTCCGAGCTCTCACATGCCGCAACATGAGAATATCATGCCATGTGTACCTCGGCGAGAGAGCCTTTAAAAAGTGAAAGTGAAACTAGTGACATCCATGCGAAAACGATGCAGCAAACTGCGAACAAACACAAAAAAAGATCAAAAGGAGCGTTTATTGATCTAGTGCAATAAAAAAAGTTACAATGAGCAACATAATGCGACTAATACTTTGAGAGCACACTTACACCAAGCAGAAGCGTAGTTTATCGTTCGCTTTGGCGGTATACTACCGGTTCCTCTCTGACGTTTCCAACAGAATTCCTTCCACAAGACCCACAGGCAATGGACGCCAGTCTTTAGGTCTTGAAGTGTAACAAGAGATTGCTAGGGAAATGAAAAATAAACAATGTACCAGTGATGCAGTATCAAAAAGTTTACTTCACTTAAAATTTGAATTGTGTTAAAAGATTGTTCTGCTGGTGTGACGGAAATTGGTAACAGACGCCACCCGTCATTAAATTCATACAGTTCAGGGTTAGCGTGACGTAAATGGTTCACAATCTAGGACGGGACTTTGGTAAAGAAATCAATGGGAATGGGAATGATGTATTACAAATGGGACTCTATCGTAGATGACACAGGCTAAACTAGGACACCATTATCTTGTAATTTTTCTTCTTTACTGTTTAATTTTCTCCACCCCGGAATCTAAATTACTGTTATTTGGTTACACGCTGTATCTACAGAACTTCTTTTTGACTAAAAGCTAGTTTTGGTCCATCAGTCCAGAAACTCGTTTCTCTCTCAACTGGAGTCTTCGTTATGGCTGACATTTGGACCTTCCATTTCAGATCTTACGACGTCTTGGTACTGTGAGGTCCACTTGGTCAGTTCCATAGGTACACAGTTACCATACTCTGGACTATCTACATCATCTACTTCCCTTCCGTAAATCTGGAAATAAAATAAAATTAAAAATAATAGAAACTGATTCATAAAACACGAACTCGCAAATTAACTTTATATTTTGTGTTAAGAGACTCTCAGAATTGAAGCAAATCTCTTTTGTTTGGCTATTGTAACTGAAAGAAAAAGTAAAGATAAGTGTAATTTTGTTTACAATAGTGTTAACCAGATCAGCTTTTCTCCATAGCATATAAAGCATCTGTCAATTTATAAGTAATATTTTTTTAAAATTAAATAAAGAGAAAAAATAATACAGTTATTTTCTTATTTATCTATATCTTTACTAGATATTTATATAATTTTATTCATATCGTTATTTCTTGGTAAAATGAACCAATTGATTGTCAATGAAATCTGCAAACTCATTTTTCTCAACTTATAAACTAAAACGCACACCATAAAATTCTAACAAGCTAACAAAATTCAATCAATCAAATTACTAATAAACGATACAACCAATCAGTCAATCAACCAATCAATCACAACCGAACCTTACCTGGCAAACAAACTCCAGCACATTTCTCTTGGTGGTCTCAGCCTGTGCACGAGAACCCCACCGGAATTCAAAGGACGGTGGGTCTGTATTTGGTTGACGTACATACTCCAGGTACGCCTGACGTACGAACTCTTGCGTCACCAACTTCTTGACGTCACCAAACACCTCGTGATTCTTCCTGGGAAGACATCGGGAAGGTCAATCAACAAAGTCCTCAATGAGTTTAAGAACTTGATATATAAGTCAAAATACTAGATTTATATTGAAGGACTCGATACATCTATCAAAACTATGTTTTTGTTTCATAAAAAGCTTAACGTTTCACTTTGATAGCTTTTTACCTATCATAGTTGATCTTTAGAGATGCGTTTTCAATATAAGTTATTTATTACTTTGATACCAAAAAATGCCTATTTTGTCTTGAAATAGGAAACACATATCGCCTTCAACATATTGGCAATGACAGAACTGATAAAATATAGCTTCTTGACAGTCTCAAGAAAAGCTGGGTGGTAAATATAGGAAAATTTAGAGAAAACATACTCTGAGTCTACTCCAAGTCTTTTCAGTGTATGCCACAACTTTGCTAAAATAAAGAGAATAAAACATTAAATGTTACATACAATAAAAACAATCACCAAAGCACTGGTGAGCAGTGATCGTCCCATATGACATCACACTGAAGAAGATCACGCATGTGTTCGAAAGCTCTGTCAGGTATAGCTCTATTTTTAGTATAGAAATTGAAAATTTGAAAAATTTAATACTTGAATCACAACCATAAAAACTATCTACTGTATTCATGAAAAATTTTACTGACTTTTATTTAAAACTTTAAGATATCATTGGGCGCACTCAGACCAAGTTGATCTTCAAACTAACAGTGCCAGGGATCAAATATGGGCAACCAACTTGAAAGCTTGTTGCATAATCCCCTAATAGACTTTGGATAGATTCCCCGTAAGAATTCGGCTGCAAACTTCAAAGTGGGTCAGCTATATTTGATCCACAGCTCTGTTAGGCTCTATTCCCATAGATTTTAGATCGATCTATCCCCACGGGGAGTCTCACTAGATTACTTTCAGATAATCCGACTTAAATACCCGTCCCGCCTACTACAAGCTGTAAGGGGGTAATTAACTTTCGTGTCCGCCCGGCTGACAGCTATTTAGCGTGAACCCCCAGGGAGTTAGGTCGATCTAAAGTAGGTCGATCTAATCTATGGAAATGGGGTGTAAGTCAGCAAATCAATTTTTGTTGTTAATGCAGCCATTTTCTCATTACAAATAAAACTTACTGTCTGGGACTACATTCCCCTCCATAAAGATAAGACTGAGGATAATCATCAGAAGACCAGTCTTAGCATTTTCTTCTGGGGACCTAAAAGAGAGAGAAAGAATTGAAATCCATTAACCTTACAGATTAAAAAAATTAACTAAAAATTAATCGAACATAATACAAGTAAAGATGAAAGGGACTCTCTGTAGTATTGTATTTGAGTCCATTTTCACTCACATTATGGCATATAGCACTGGACAGATCAGGATATAACATGTTCCTGTTCAGACCAAAATGTAATGTTTTACTGGTGTCTATGTCCTTGTCTATCTTTATCAAAAGAGCTAAACACTAAACTTTCACTGGAAATAAAAACATTACCATTTCAGATGTGGTTCATCTTCATTAAGATCTATGGCATTGACCAGCATGTAACTGGTCTGTTTTCCTGTTGTTTCTGTCTGCAGTTTAAACCCAAACACCTGGAATAATACAGTAGCCTCACACATTAGACAGGTAAGATATGTTTACTAGATAGATGTGATGAACTATTCATCAATTAATTTAATTTGTTACAAAAATCATCAATACTGTTGAAGTGATTTCATTGGTTGGTTAATAGGTCCAGGAAACGAACTGTTATGACGGAGGAGGGGGGGGGATGTTCCATGGGCTACGGAAATAGACCCAAAGAACTGAATATTTACTAAATGTTACTGGCATTTGACATATGACTAAGGGGGCATTCCCATGTACAGCTGGATGGATTTAAAACTGCTGGGATTCTCGATGAATTGCATTCAGTGTAAGCGGCTTAAATGTCTGGCACGCCTACTCAAGCTGATAAGGGGTAATAAACGAAAGTCAATTACCCTCTAGTTACTCAAGGGAACGTGCCAGACAATTAAGCTGATTACACTAAAAGCACTTTAGCGAGAAACCACGTAGAGTTAGACTGATCCAGCTAGTACGATGGGTTTATAGGAACACAGTCTAATATTGGCCTTTTGGACTGAATCCACTTACATATTGCAGCTGTTCTTCTGCCTTCTTGATCAGTATTGGGAAACTCTTGCTCATTTCCTTCAGGACATGTCTGTTGATTTCTACAACATATAAAATGGTGGAGGGTTTGTGTTGCTGCTAATGGTACAGAGAAATCATTTGTAGTAATCTAGTCAGTGGGTTTTTTGGTTCTGCTGCAGAAACTTTACAATTTTTCATTTAGGCCTTAATCCGAATTACTAAAAATTAAAAACAGCAACAATTTGAATTCCACAAATAAATGTTCTGTTCTTAACATCTGAAAAGATCAAACTGAGAAATGAATGGTGTCTGTCAGAAAGTCTTTGTAAGCATTTAAAAAAAAAAAAATTAAAATAGAAAACTGCACTGAGTATTGGAATCATTCAAATTTGGTTATTATTTGCAGGTATCATTTGTGACTTTTTTTTAAACCAAATGAAGTTTTCATAAACCTGGGTACAAAAGAAGCAAACAATTCACCATTAACAGACAACAGAGGTTGCTATTCAAGACAAGACAAGGCAGGCGTTTGGTCCCAGATGACACTTATTGAAGAAGCTGAACAAACCTTTCTTTTTGATTGGAATTTTCTTCTGGTCTGCAATCAAAATATACTGCACCAGCTCTGTTACCTTACAGGAAAGAAAGATAATAGTTACATCAAATTATAGTTAAATAACATGTAAACGTTAACTAATACATTAACAAAAGTTTTCGTTAGAAACAAGGAGGAGTGTGTGTGTGTGTGTGTGTGTGTGTGTGTGTGTGTGTGTGTGTGTGTGTGTGTGTGAAAGAGAGAGAAAGGTCAGAGATCAAACAATTTTTATTACTATTTTGAAGTTTTACAATTAAACAAAAAAGGAGTGTCATACTGTTCATGTGACTGCATTCAGTGAGAGGTCCTGTAAAGTTGGTGTACAGTGGCATTACAAACACATTGTGACTGGGCCCTAAGTTATATACATACACCCCATTTCCATAGATTAGATCGACCTACTTTAGATCGACCTAACTCCCTGGGGGTTCACGCTAAATAGCTGTCAGCCGGGCGGACACGAAAGTTAATTACCCTCTTACAGCTTGTAGTAGGCGGGACGGACATTTAAGTCGGATTATCTGAAAGTAATCTTGTGAGACTCCCCGCGGGGATAGATCGATCTAAAATCTATGGGAATAGAGCCATAGTTATATAGTCTAGTTAATGACAATGATACTTGACACTTTTTAACCTAAATGTGTGTCCAATCTTTAAACCTGGGACTGAATTTCTTTCTTTCTTTTATTTATTTATTTATTATTATTTATTAATATTATTATTTTTTTTTTGAAATTTAAAAATATCAATACCTTCTTCTGTATATCTGCCTGGGAGAAGTTGGACACCGCCCTCTGTGCTTGTGTCAGGGATTGGGTCGCCTCCACTTCTTCATCCTACAGGATGGGAAAAAAATAAATAAATACCAGTAGAAAATTGTCCCCCATAATGATTGATATTTAATTAATCCCAAATTTCCAACAAATTAAGCCCAGAAGAAAAGACATTCAAATCTCTTATATCCCTTATTTGAACAAACCTACACTGCCAGTTCAATGTACATGCAAAATGTAGTTTTAGACATTGTTCTTTTAAGACTAATACTGCATTTTATTTGATTGCAGGCGTGTGTGTGATGAGAGAGAGAGAGAGAGAGAGAGAGAGAGAGAGAGAGTGAGTTATATTTTAAAAGTACTTGGAGATACAAAACATGCAAGGATATTAAGTTTCCAAGCTAAGTAAGAACTCTCAAGATTTTAGGTCTCGTCTCCGCGTTTTGAGAATTGATAACTGCGCCTATACTAAACACTCTACGAAAAGGGCTGTCGAGCTCGCAAGAAGTGTAGAATTTGCAGTTTAATTGTCACTTGGTCTCACTTTGTGCGGTTATTCTCGTTGAAATAAACACGGTTACCATAGCATTAATTGAGGGAGTTTTACCGAAGACTCTGCCTGGGAGGAACGCTGTGGTCGTTGGGTTTTCTTCTTAGCTTTCGGCATTCTATAGTAGATCAATGAAGTTCACAATCCTTTAAGAAAGGCGGGAGATCGGAAAGTTGTATCCGCTCTCGCGAAATGAAGTTGCAAGACTTCTTAGTTTTATTTTCGTATTTAGATTTTGTTTGCCCTTTGCTTGAAATGAAAAAAGGGATCGCAAATCTTAGCTTATCGAAGAAAATTTAATAAAAGCATCCGTTCGGATTGAAAATAATTAGCAAAACTTTTGAAAATCAATACCATCCGAAGTGTATGTCACGTGATCATAACAAACATGGCAGCGCCCACGAATCTGGAGCGTGGCAGTCGTACGTACTGTATATCCGAAAAATGGATGAGATGAAAGGACTATGGGGAATGTTCAGTTTGTATTCAATCTGACTAACTACTGTTAAAATACAAACTGCATATATATAGATTTGTTGTAGCTGCGGTTTACATAAAACAACATCTCTGCAGCACCTGTATGTTGTACTTGCTTGGAGACAGGAAATCGACACAGTAATATTTCGTTAATAACACTCACAGTACCCAGAGGACAAAATGTCGGGGTCTGTCGAAGATGATACCAATGTGCTGTTAAGTGCAGCAGCTTCTGCTTCTTATCGGATGTTACTCAATGTAAGTAGAGGCACTGTTTATTACTAATTTTCCCAGTAGATTCTTAGATCCAGATATCTGAAAGGCCAGAAGGCAAAGGCGATTTTAACACAGACTTTTAACTGTGTTATTTACATTGTGTTTAGTCAAGGAAATTCTTTATAATGCAGTGCTACTAGTACATTCAAAGCAATTATCCCTGTGGTTGCATCCGTATTTACATTTAATTTCTTTTTCTTGAACTGTATTTGCTGAAGTATATGTATCTATGATATAGATAATATACAGTACCTGTTAAAGATGTCCATTTGTTGATTTATTAACCAGCTAGGTCAAAAATCCATAAAACAAACTACTTTGCAGGATTTAGTATTGAAATAGAATTAAGTTTCTCTGAAACTGTTAGGCCAAGTTATGTGATCCGGAATGCGTTTGTCAAATTCTAGTAGGGCATTTTCATGCAGCTTTACATACATGTGTCACTAACTCTAAGTTATTTGGAATTCTCTTTATTTCAGCTAATGTTCCGAGTCTTGAGTTTTGTGATGAATGGAGTTTTACTGCACTATGTGACCAGCCAGATGTTGGGGGTGGTTAATGTCAGGTAAAAACCAAGAATATAGCTTCAACGAGAAAGGTCAGCAACAAATTCAGGATTAGCTGTTGACTGAAGAAAGAAATAACTGCTTTGTGCATAAAATGCTTTAAGTGCTAAATCTCTTCATACACTCAATCTGCACGACATTTCATGCACAGCCCCTTTATAACTCTACTTTAAGTATACAAAATTATAGAAATTTGCATTATAAGTCATATTCACAACATTTGAAACATATGACTATTTTAAGTGCTTATGAATTTCTGGTAGGTCCAAAAAGAATTTTAAAACATTGAAAACTGTGCTTCCAGTGGCACAAAACACGTATAACGCAGCTGATGTAATTCTTTGCTGAGTCTCTTACCTCATTTTTGCAAGTAACCCCATTACAAGTACCACATTCTATGAAAGTTCCCTGTTCACAGCTTTTTATCTTTTGTTTCAGACTTATCTTACTACACAGTACCATATTGCTAGTGGCCAGGGAGGGCTTCAGAAGAGCTTGTGTCAGTAAAAGCAGTAAACAAAACTGGGGACAGGTCATCAACTTAGTGTGGTGTATGTAAGTAGTGTGACAGGTCATCAACTNTGGATAAATACAGGGGTACACATTCACCGTGTGCATATGAAACATATCCTAGCCAGAAATTCCACACCAAATCCAACTCTTCTTCCCTAATTTTACTCAATGTTGTGAAGTATGTTGTCTGCTCTAGTTGACACACCTTGAGTATGTTGTGACAAGATGCATTACACGACAGTACGAAGTATACCATTTCAGGCCAAATATTTTACCCCGAATTCAGTATGGGCACGCTTTTTGCATTGCTTTTATTACAGATATTACATATGTTTCTGTCTTTTTTTCTTAATTCAGAGTTCCTATTGGAATTTTGACTGCCATGGTATTCAGTTACGTGTGGCTCTATCTGTTGGAAGTTCCTGATCCTATTCAGATGCCAAACTACCACATTGGCGTATACAGCTATGCCTCCTGTGCTGTGATTGAGATATTGTCAGAACCTGTCTGGCTTACGGCCCACGCTTTCCTGTTTGTAAAACTGAAGGTAATATCCTGGCAACCAGTCTTCTTTGTTGTTGAATTGATCCTTTTATCACACATTAAACATGGCCTGATCTAGTACTTCCAAGGTACTTCTTCTCCTGCCTAAGAAACAGTGAAATGAGACAAAAACCAAGCATTTTTCCATATCTGTATCCTACAAAGTATAGTAATATTTTCATTGTCTTTTGTTGTAAATTGCCAAGGGAAATGAGGCAAATTATGGCTTAAAGCTTTTGAGTGGTAATTTTCTTTAACATAATGTCTTTCTGATCAGTTGTATTTTGTTGGGTTTTGAAGATGATGGTCAATATATAGTTTTACCATGTGTCTATATATTACATTCCAGGCAGTGATAGAAAGTGTGTGTATTATTACCAGGAGTATGATCAATATTCTACTGGTGGTGTATTTTCCTGACTGGGGGATAATTGCCTTTTCAGTAGCACAGGTAAGATTTGTGTGGGGTTTGATGTGTGCTGTTGTGTGGATATGAGGCTATACAAGTGTGTGTGTGTGTGTGTGAGTGCGTAGGTGTGTGTGTGCGTGGGTGTGTGCATATTCACAGGCAGTTCCATACTGAGAAGTTGTGTGGTTTGGCTAGTACCCTCATCTCTTGTCTTAAACGTTTATTATTATTATTTTTTTATTTAAACAATTTTAGACATTTTGCCAGTGCATGTGTGTGACATGCTGGAACATAGTGACCATATGTTATCAGGCTGAAACACTGTTACTTCCATTTAAAAATTAAGTTTTTGTATCAGATTTTATTATAATAATTCCATTTTTATCGTAATTTTTATCATAATCTTGTTTCCAGATAGTGTTCACTGTGTTGTGGGTGACTGCGTACTATGCTTACTTCAGTTGGTATGTTTCCACACAGCAGAAGAAAGATGACAGTTTCCCAGTGAAATCTGTAAGAGAGTTTTTACCAACAAAAGCACCTGGAAAGGTAAAATGAAATTTAAATTATTGATAGAAGACTTGAGATTGTGGGAAATCTCTGAATTATATACATCAGGATTATTGTCAAAAATTTGAGGTTGTTCATGTAAGTTGTTCTAATAATGTTCTAATAATTAATAATTGAAAGCTAACTGGAAACTTTGGACTTTCCTGGTAACTTCAACAGTAGGGCATGTTTTACTTAATTTATTGGACAAGGAATGTATATTGTTTATGTAAACATATTTCATTCACAGCCATGGATTAGTACACATTTGGTGGTGCTGACCTGGAGTTTTGTCAAACAGTCATTTCTGAAGCAACTCCTGACTGAAGGCAAGTGAATTGTTACATGAAGTATCGGACTAGTTTTTCACACTAGTTTCACACTAGTTTGGTAAAACATGAATGTTCCAAACAGACACTGAGGGACTCACGCCCCCAGTTTAGCCTCAGAGATACAGTACCTTCTCCTCTTTCTCTCCCCCCCTCCCCACCTAAAGTATATTAAGTGAAACGAGACAGAAATCCATTATTTTTCCATCCTTGTGCCCTCCATGTAAATGTTCATCTTTGAAGAAAAAACCTTATGGCTCCTCTAAAGCCCCTAATTAGCAAATTTCTGGATCCTCTAATAAAAGGTCCCAAGAGATGAAAAAACTCAGAATATTTTTAATTGCTTAGATATAATGAATAGACATTAGTTTAAAGTCATTTGATACAATAAGGCTGATGCTGACAAAATATTTGTTTCAATATTTTCTCTCCAGGTGAATATTATGTCATGACAGTGTTTGGGGTTCTCAGTTTTGCTGAGCAGGGAGTCTATGATGTCATCAATAATCTCGGTTCTCTAGCAGCAAGGTTTATCTTTCAAGCAGTTGAAGAGAGCGGTTACCTGTTTTTTTCACAAACATTAACCAGAGAAGTACCTATCAAAGAGCAGAACAAGGTCATTACTAGTAACATAACATGCAAAGGATGTCAAAAAGTTTTGCAGTCAGTTCATATATTTTTCCCTGTCAGATAGTACAATACGCCACTCTTCATGTGCATCAGTGTCTAATATCTGCTGACTTTATTTTTTCAGTTATTGTTACATGTGAGGGTATAGTGAAAAATGAGTTTTAAAAATTCAGATGTTTGTATAAGGATTTAATATGATTAAACAGATTTTAATCAATATTGTATGATAATTCTTTGATCAAGAATTAGTGAAGCAAAGGTACATGTATTCAGCAGTTTTGACCATTGTTTTTAATTTTTATTTCTTAATTTTGTTAATTGTGAGGAATTGGTCTCAAAATAATATATCTAGCTCATCAAAATTCTGTTTTGCAGGACACAATTCTGCTTGCGTCCAGAGTTCTGGAAAGTCTCCTAAAACTTGTTACATACATAGGGCTCATCGTGCTGATATTTGGTTACTCATACTCCTACCTGTTCCTGGACCTTTATGGAGGGAACACTCTTAGTCAAGGACCAGGTAAAATAACACACCTCTGTTTACCTAAGACTAGTCTAGATAATAGTCTGCAAGATGAACTCTGGTGCTAGCATAATGTCAGAGAAATTAAAGCCTTGGCAGTGAAATTTTTTAATGTGTCTGTTACTGGGGACCTTGTCTGCTTTGGGCTAGTAGAATCCTAACATTAGCTCTGATTTCAGCAATGATGCAAATAAATAATGATGATACAGTGCTTCACTAGTAACAGTTTATGATAGAACAGTATAATGAGATTGCTTTCTGATCTTTATTGCACATCATCATTTAAAAAGGTGAAATATTTTACCTCTATCTCTTCTTTTATCTCCAGGTCCAATGTTACTGCGAGTGTACTGTCTCTATGTACTCATCATTGCTATCAATGGCACCACCGAATGTTTTGTGTTTGCAGCTATGAGTAAGCTGGATGTTGATAGGTCAGTCTGCAATTTGTTAAACAGCACATGATTGGCTATACATATTTGAGTGTTGCAGTGGTTAATTTGTGTCTTTTTAATTCAAGTTTTGTGTGAAATGTAATAGCCAGAGAGTGCATTTTTATTTAAAAATTTGAAAATATTTAAAACTGTAGGGGAGTGAATGAAGTATGATTGCATATCATTGTTATTTGCGAATTAATTTTTAGCAAAATTATTGAAAAGTTTCTAAAGATATCCTATCCAAGAATTTCTTTCCAAATCAGTTTTCTTTGAGAAAAAGAATGGAATTTTCTCCTGCTCACAGATCATTTATCATACCTTTCCTGCACTTGGATATGTTTTATACAATACCATTTCTAATTAATTGATATAGCTCTAAATAACTAGTCAGTCAGTTAGAATGCCATGTATTTTCTACCTTTAACATTCCAGATATAACTACAAAATGATGCTGTTTTCTCTGCTGTTTCTGCTGGCATCCTGGTCTCTCACTCAGTGGCTGGGAAGTGTAGGCTTCATCCTGGCCAACTGTTTGAACATGCTAGCTAGAATAATACATAGGTAGGTACTGTAATTATTCTGCAGATGTGAACTTCACAAATTAATTTTTTTCCTAAAATGACATAATAACTGAGGGCTGACTTTGTCATGTTGAGAGGTACAGTTTTCTATGCAGCATAAGTTTGACTGGTCGTAACATATAACACTGCATTGGGTTTTACTCTCTTTCTCAAGACTCACTTAACAATAAAAAATAAACCTGTTAGATGGTTTGTGTCAAGTAAAGGGGGGAGGGAGGGTTTGTTTTTGTGAATCTTCTGTGTAATAGCCAGGCTATCAAATTGTCAACCTCTCATACCGGCAGTGCAGATAACTACTGTTCTGTGTGAAAAAGGGCATTTACTCCACTAAGATAGATGTCTTGTTATTCCAGTGTCTACTTTATCAACCTGTACTACGAGGGCAGTGAATTTCACCCTCTAAGAGGCATCCTACCTTCAGCACCTGTGATGATCTCTCTGACAGCTTCACTTTTGATCACAGCTCTCTCTGAGGTATAGACATGAATTTTTCAGTGGAAATCATAGTGAAAGATCTCTTAAATGATTGAAACAGAAGTTTTTTCAAATAAGCCAATAAGTCTGAAGAATAGTCCAAAGATTTAAAGTGCAATGTGAAAAATAATGAATCATAATAAGTGTTATTTTGGACTTATTTGTCTTATCAGCTTCCCCCTTTTTGTAACTGCTGCACGGTCTTTACTGCTCAAATTAAAAAAGATGTACAATGTAGAATCTCCACTTGAGCAAAATTGCAAACGAGTGTAAAAACATCGTGTGTTTTACTATTTACTATGATTTATTCATTGGCAGCTCCAAACACGTTTCTCTCTCTCTCTCTCTCTCTCTCTCTCTCTCTCTCTCTGTGTGTTTGTGTGTGTGTGTGTGTGTCACTGTTTGGTGTGTGTGTGAACCAAGACTTAAATTTGTTAATTTTTTCCAGCAACTCCTATGCTGTGATAAAGGCAATCTCTATAGACTGGTGCATTTCGGGATAGGTGTCGTCTGCGGGCTGTCGGTCCTGGGTTCCATATACCTAAGTGAAAAGCAGCTGCTGATATTTATAAAAGAACAGTATCAGAAAATGAAAAAAATAAAGACTAAGACGAATTAGTAATATTCATTACATTTCATAGTTAATAACATTAACGCTGATGTTTTATTTTCCTTTTCCATAAGTATATTTCTATGATCATGTTATAAAATAAAAGCTAATCAGTAAGAAAACCTATAGTGTCTTTGTTGTATAATACGTAAACGATACAATTCACAATTAAAGGGATAATAACTCTTCATATGATATCTATATTTCACAATAAAAACATTGTAAACAACTCATAGAAATATAATATATTCTGTTTTACCACAAAAACGGCAATTATAGCTATTATTCTGATATCTGAGCTTGTCTTCAGATCACTTGACCTCTATTGATGGCTGTACTCAGTTATAAACTCTTAAGAGATTAAAAGAAAAACCAAACTTTTTAGAAAAAAATCAGGGACTAACTTTGAATGTAAAAATGGATTCATTAACCATTGGTAAGTATGGGAAAATTGTTGTTTACTCCAGGAAAATTCATTTTTTGGCCAAAACGAAGTGTTATTATCCCTTTAATGTGTAAAGCCTGCCACACACTACCGTATAAAGAGACGCGTATAGGTATCGTATGTGAAATAGATAAAATGTGCAAATTTGAGACACTCTCCCGACCTATAAGAACAAGTATATAAGCAGCGTGTGAAATTATTTTGGAAAAAATTGTTCAAAACATCTTATATATCGCTCCGTGCATGCGAAAGATATAGTGAGATGTTCTTGCGCGTTACAGACAACGCAACGTATAAGTTCATAGACCTCCTCCAACACCTGATTTACTAGTAGGCTAGTGCTGCAGCTTGGTGGTTCTATAGGGTCTACCATTACATATAGTCCAGACCGGGGCTGGCCTACGGGGTTCACTTGGGGGCCTCCGCTCCTACCCGAGGTTCTTCAAGGATGACATTTCCCTCTGCTACGGTGCCTTAATCGTTTCCTTTCTTTCTTGGTCTTCTTTTGATCTGTTTTCCTCCTTCTCTCTTCTTCCTTTACGGCACTGACGGTAGCATGCTGAAATTCATTGTGCATGAACAAGGTCAGTAACGGTTATTTTTCTCATAAAGTCCGATTATAAAAAGGCAACATGAAGTGTTAACAAATTTATTTAAGGACACAAGTTGTGTCAGCCTAATAGCGCTCGTAGCGTTCTCTAGCGGCAGTTAACAGTGCACAGAAAACACCCACAGCGTTGCCGAACATTCAAGCTATTTTTTATGAGATCTTGGAATACTACAACTTTGCGTGTTTTTCCTGAAAGTAGATGTTTGGAAAATGATTTCAATTCTCCAAGAACAAGAAACACAAACAATGTAAGAGACGAGACAAGTTACAATACTTACAGTAGTCGGCATATAGAAAGAGGGACGTGGCGATGGATGTATCTATACCCATAACCAGTATGAAAATGTTAGAAATCAGTAACATATGCAGCCGAGAGCGGGCGGTAGACGACTTTTAAACCTGCTTAATAAACGTAAGTTCATTAATATTTTTATCAAATTTGGGAGCAACGAACTTTCAAAGGCTAACACTTCAATTGTATGAGGTGATAGCGTGCCTAGCAGACGCAACTTACGCTGCATGCTGGGTAAAAAGGGCAAACTTCCGGTTTTGTTCCGTAATACGGCAGTGATAATAAGCCTACGTACGAGGTCGGAGACGATGCTTACGCTAAAACTGGATGCAACTGATTTGAGAATTTTATCAAAGGCTGAAATATTACAAAAAACATCATAAAACTAAAAATAATGGCCATCGCTAAAAGACGTAAAGATTTTTCAATTTAAAAAACGACACTGCGAAAGTAGCTTTTAATTGAGTTAGGCCTATTTTATAATTTAGGCCTACAATAGGTCCTAAACATTTCAGACATTTTATGAGACGTAAGACAGGCCCATATGCTTCCTGACAAGCGGCCGATTTTCTCTTTCAGTAAAAATAAACTTGATCGATTGGAGAAAGTGAGATGTTGCTGCGAGCGACAGTAACGAAGGTTTAAAATTAGGCCTATGTCCCTAAAGCCCGTTTACGGTGTTCTGTGTGAGAACGGATAAATCTAGATAGGCCTATTATTTTTAGTGATTTAAATTGCTAGATTTAAATTGCTCTTAGTAAAGTATAGTAAAGTAAAGTAAAGTAAAGTAAAGTAAAGTCAAGTTCCACACGGACAAACAAGTAGCCTATTCCGCTCGCTTACTTTTAATAAAATTAAAAAAAATATTAAATGGATATTTCTGTGTGAGAACGGATAAATCTATTAACTGTTATATTTCTATAGGCCCTATATTGAAAAAGAGGGTCGATGTCGACAAAATTCATTATGAACGGTCGCTATGAATAAGGGGTTTAGGGATGATGGTTTTACATGTATGGAGGAGGGTTATGAGGAAGACCCATCAAACGAATCCCACCAAACGGTCAGTTTAGAAAGTACTGTAGATGGCTAGAACTTCGCGGTGCTAAAGATAACAACAGGCAAGGGCGGGTGTCAAATTTAGAAAAATAGAGAAAAAAGAAAGATACGTGTAATTATGGGGTATAGGCCTTATTAATATCCCACCACTAACCCCGATACCCCAAAGGCAGTGTGGTACCAGTTTGCTGGAGTAAGAATAAATTCTACTGTAACACCCACCAGGCGTCTCCTTTGTACGGGGAGGTCAAATGGCGCCATTTGCAACTAAAAAAAAGTCGCTGTTTAATCATGCACTACCATATTGAAGCATATTAATGTTAGATATGTAGACGTGGATTCCTTTCCATAGGGTCTGTTTTCAGCAGTTAGCTAGGTCTCTAATCCACCGTAGATAAGCACGAGAGTCACATTGATATACCTGCGTATCAATTCAGCATGCTTTAAGGAATATATTGGGGTTCAAACATGTGGTTACTGCATTGATGATAGGCCTACATCTGTCAAGAAACAGGATTTAAACACATTTTAGTCATCGCATTTTAAGTGCCATTTTATTTATTTAGCGTTAGCCCATAAGTAGCATATAAAAAGAAAAGTATCCGCAGCGAATTTTGGTGTCTGCGGAATGTTGCAATACGCCCACACGACTTTGATATTGGCTTTGGTTTTGACTATCGTTTTTTTTTTTTTTTTTTTTTCAAAACTAGTGTCGACAAACTTGATTTATGACAAACCCGTTGAAAATAAAAAAAGGAACATTGATTATAATTAACGCTTAAGGTACTTGGCATGTAAGACCAAAAACTCAGGCAAATAAATGTCAATCTCCTAAAATGGTGAAAACATGAACGTATAGCACACGATATGAAGAGGACCTTATAGTTATGTTAAAATTTTATAGTGCTTTGAGACCAATTATTTTAGCATTGTTAAAATATATCAACATGCATTACGTTGGTGTTTCTTGCGTGATCTATCGAATTACGGCATGAATCTTACTACAAACGCGAGACCGATATTATGTAATGTCGAACCACAGCTGTGACATAGAACAAAATACTCGGCCGTGCTGTATTCGTCGTACGAGCACGTCATGTACATGTACGAATGCGTACCACGAGTAAAATATCGCAAGGGCAGCGAAGTAGCCAATCAAATGCCGTGGTTTAAGCCAGATAGAACACTCGTCGCCAAGCTGTACGTGAAATTTACTCGTGCATTGTTTCGTCTGCGGCTCGACAATACACTCCTACCATTTCACGCACGGCTCGGCGACTCTCATTGTATCTATCACAGAATACGTCAGTTGCATAAGAGGGCATTCTATTCCAGCGACCATTGAAGCTTTTATTCCGCATGGACAATACCAGTAGTTGAATACAATACACAATACCAGCTGGGTGTTTAATACTGGGTGAAGTTTGAAATTGACTTCTGCAGTGAGGACACGGGACCTTAGGTTGGCACGTTGATATCCGGTTTGATCTCCGCGTGGAAAGACGTCTCACTAGGTCTACGCGGTTTTTTTTTCAGGTGTGACCCCCCTCTGTTCTATTTGATGTAGGTGTATATACAAGGTGTGCAGGTGATGGAAAACACACGAGTCAACACAGCTTGAATTGACAGACACATTCTCCAGTGGTAGTGGAGAACTGGACTCACTGTTAATAAGGTGTGTGTGTGTGTGTGTGTGTGTGTGTGTGAAAGAGAAAAGAATATGTATAGAGCCTACATATGTCTACACGCGCGCGCGCGCGCACACACACACACACAGAGAGTGAGAGAGAGAGAGAGAGAGAGACGGGAAGGGCTGAGCACTCGGAGAGAGAGAAAGGAGAGGTTGGAGAGAGGGAGAGAGTTTAACACTCAGACACTTAGTAAATGCTTTTAGAAAACAGCATGCCTAAAAATCGATAACTATACCTGTAGATGCCTAATAGGGTCTATTTATTGTGCTTTGTCATATATGTAAGTACCGGGTATATGCATACAATATGAAGGGAGTTAACCTACGAGATGCTGTGTTTACTGGCTTACAGTGAAGATGGATCCCAGTATATCTTGACCACTATCAAGATAGTTACGCCGTGCTTACTTCACTGACCATGACTCGATGGCGGACAACTATTATATGTGCGACAGCGGCGGTCGGTTAACATGTGGGTAACCCTGTATATTTACATGTCCCCACACTCACACAGTGCAGGGCATGCCTCCATCTTATTTTGGTGTTTTACTTTCAGCACATGAAGTCGTTGATGTTATAGCGAGTGAAGTGGAGACCCCCTTCTATATGTGGACAGTCTGACGGTAGGACAATCAGTGGGTATGCAGACTAAGGGGACATGGCGGCCAACAAGGTAATCCATGAACGTGGGAGCGTTTTTAACTTCATAATACTTTAAAGACAGTGACGGTTGCCAAGTACAAGAAATAGCAAATCTCCACTTTATACGCCCCACTGCCTCTGAACGTACTTTCGAAATACTGGAATAGGGTGTAGTGAGCGGGAAGGGGGGGGGGTTAATACCATTGTAGTGAGGGGGGGGGGGTACCATTGTGCACATGTATGAGGACATTTTGTTGTTGTAAAGATTGAGTGTATAGTTGTTGCTCTCCAT